TTATATTACAGGAACAATGGACGATAAGTCTTTTGCATGCCTTGGATGCAACATCTTTTGTATACTGGTAGCCTATCAGTAGTGTGAGTAGCCTAGCCTCATTTACAAAAATTGGCCCCTTAACCCCAAATCTGACTCGAAATTTTGAAAACATCCTGGAAAATTAGGCCTAAAAGGCGCATTTATGCCCAAACATACACCAAACTGTCCCACTGCTAAATTACAAGGGTGATTAAAGTCACTTCTAATCCTGATTGACTTTCTCTAGTTTGCATGGTTTGTCATGATGTGCTATATTGTTATTGCCCAATCTCAACAATTGTATTCACTGTATGGCCTACCGTGCCAAGAATAATGCAATTGTTCAGCTAATCTCTTCTTTGGGGGGACCCTAGAAGTGTGGGACATCACAATCATAGATTAATATTTCATTACAATCAATGTATGTTGTATGACAAACATGCAAACTAGAGAATGTTAATGAGGCTAGAAAGATTTATCATTACAAAGAGCTCCTTTTCCCATATTTTACATACTCAAAATCCCTTAATTCAGTGTATAATCCAAGGTGCATATATTGCAGGCCACAGGATAACATATTAACACCTTACATTAGCAGTTGCCATTACTTCATAAATGGAGTAAAGTACTCCCACTATTGTCAGGTTAAAACGATTCCTGTATGGATTACAAAAGATGTTGGGTCTAATGTATGCAAGGGAATAATCTCATCCATTGTACTTGTAAAGGGTGTTTGGGGAGCAGATGCAAATATTTGAAAGCAGATATTATTTGCCCTGAATTATATGTAGCTGTAGAGGAGACAGTCAAAATCCATTGATTCTGAACTGTTGATTTCATGATTCTCAATAAATATGACAAAACAAGACCATTTTGAGCACACATTTGAGATGCATATGTTGCATATTGTGAGAGTTATCAAGGTGAGATAGCCCCTGGGACACCAGAGGCTAAAATTAAAATTAAAAAAAAATGCAATCATTTTTCTACATTTCATTAGTAATATGAAAAAGACAGGACTTTTCTGAGAATATTTTAGGATTATATGTTACGTATCTTAGAAGTTATTATTATTATTATATGGTGCGATATGATTACACAAAGCAAGAGTGCATACACCTTTTTGAGTACATTTGAGATACATATGCTCCATATTTTGGAAGTTATTGAGGTGAGATATGGTCGACCCTGGGATGTCAGAAGCCAAAATGAGAATCAATATTATTTTAAATGTACAATTATTTTTTACTTCTTATTAGTAATATTATGACAAAGCAAGAGTACATTCACCATTTTGAGCACATGTGAGATATATGCTCCATATTTTGGAAGTTATTATATTAAGGTGAGATATGGTCACCCCTGGGACGTCAGAAGCCAAAATGAGAATAAATATTATTTTAAATGTACAATCATTTTTTTACTTCTTTTTAGTAATATTATGACAAAGCAAGAGTACATACACCATTTTGAGCACATTTGAGATACATATGCTCCATATTTTGGAAGTTATTAAGGTGAGATATGGTCACCCCTAGGACGTCAGAAGCCAAAATGAGAATCAATATTTTTAAAAATGTACAATCATTTTTCTACTTCTTATTAGTAATATTATGACAAATCAAGAGTACATACACCATTTTGAGTACATTTGAGATACATATGCTCCATATTTTGGAAGTTATTAAGGTGAGATATGGTCATGCCTGGGACGTCAGAAGCCAGAATGAGAATCAATATTTTAAAAAATGTACAATCATTTTTCTATTTCTTATTAGTAATATTATGACAAAGCAAGAGTACATACACCATTTTGAGTACATTTGAGAGACATATGCTCCATATTTTGGAAGTTATTAAGGTGAGATATGGTCACCCCTGGGACGTCAGAAGCCAAAATGAGAATTAATATTTTTTAAAATGTACAATCATTTTTCTACTTCTTATTAGTAATATTATGACAAAGCAAGAGTACACACACCATTTTGAGTACATTTGAGATACATATGCTCCATATTATGGAATTAAATAATGTGAGATATGGTCACCCCTATCCTGCATGATGCCAGAATTTTAAATTTCAATTATTTTTTTCTCCGCCAGTACAAAAGCTATTGATCCAATTTTAAGTATGTGATATGAACATATATAGGTCCTTCAGAATGAATTTTTTCAGTATATTTCGTACCTTAACAAATCTAAAATAAGTTATTGCACGTGGTAGAAGTATGAAAATAGGTGGCGCCCCTGTAGTGAATTTCAAGATATGCCCTTATTTTCACCCTAATCCACACAAGAAAATTCATACTGATTGTAAATAATGTTTTTGATAAGATTTTATTAGTATTTCAATGTAATTTTACTATTAAAATGTGTTAAAAATTATTTTATACCCCTACCCCCTGTTTGAAAATGAATAGATGGCGCCTCTTTAACTGCCCATAGCGAATTTACTTACCACACATTTTTACTCAAGTTAGGATAATTTACTCTAGAGAGTGTCTGGAACAAAATGATACCCTCAAACCTTTTATACTAGCCGATCACCGAAATCGGAGCTGGGGACAGCATCATTACTACCACAAAACTATTTTATTTTCTTATAAATAATTTATTCCAAATTGAGTTTAGAAGAATTTTGCTGTAACATTTAGAAATATACTTTAGAGATAGGGGTACCTCTACAAAAAATTATGTCATCAGGTATTATTGTATTTTTCAGGAGTTATTAGGACTTTTTAGCTCTTAAGCCAGGCATATACCAGTCCATATTTGTTGCACAAATTATTCAACCACCGGAGCCCATCTTTAAGGCCCTACCAGTTTGTTTTGTGAAATTACTATGCCTTTACAGTTAAAGCATGGACAAAGAACTCTAGCAAGACAACAGACAATCAGACAACCAATGATAGCATTCTCCAGGCAAACTTAAAGCATGGAGTAGCATCAAATGTGTCTTTAGATACTGTATGGTGATTCTGGGGGTTTTACAAGTTGGCTCATTGGTACTATTGGATTTGTTTGTCCATGCTTCGAGTCCCTTGTCCATACTTAAATCAGGCACCCTCATATCACTTCAGAAGAATAAATTGGGAACATAACAATAAATTATATATTTTAACTGACATAATTTTATGTGGAGTACTCCTGGTTTTAATGGTACCATCCTCTCAAGACCTCATTGACTATAGCAGTAATTGCCCCTTCCTCTTCCCCATCTCATCCCTGTCATATTCCTCAGTTAGCTAATGTAAGTAATATTGGCGCATTTTAACATTTGCCTATTGGAAGCAAGAAATTGCCATTTTCCTCAGAATCTATTTGCTAGATATGCTCCAAAACAAATACCGTAACAATATTTTAGCATGCTTATCCAGATATAATATTCAATAGGTAAATTAGTCAGTCTAAATTCAGGACAGAATTTGTCATATCACAGACAGTAATATCAAAGGTGATTTTCAGTCTTGAAGGGATGGTACCATTTAAATGACAATGATTGATAATTCTTACTTTGTTATTTAATATAAATTACATATATGGTTACTGGGTAATCTAATAAGGAGGTTAAGCAACATATTTTTAAGAGAACTTGTATATTAATATGAAGAATTATTGTCCTCTTTGAATTGGTTCTCCCCTTTCTAGTATTTACTTACCTGTTTTAAAGGTATAATGAAAATGCATGTGGTTGAATGGAAAAGCAATTGAGATGGGGAAGAAATCCCTGGGGTCATAATATTTCACGTTCACATACAAATTCTCTTAAAAAATTTGCTCAACCTCCACACATCTTTCATCCCAACTTGTTACTCGCCATCAAAGTCGCATTCTGGAAAATATAAATATAGATGTGATATGAAACATAGCGACATCATAAATTCAAAAAGGATAAGAAATGGCTAAAGTTTTGGGGAAATATGGAAGTTTTGAAATGTTGAGAGATTTCGAGTGAAATGAGATTGTCATGCCACCTTTTGGTGGACAAAAATGATTGGTAAGGTAAATGGGTCTATAAGGGGGAGAGGTTGGAGGGTAGGGAGGAGTAACTTGATTATAGATTAAAGATGATATGTGTTATAATTATGTAACATTTGCCAGATACATATACTATAACAAAAAACAGGAATTTATGAAATAATGAAATGAAAATCATTTATTACTTAACGATATAAATAATATGTAATGAATTAAACCCAGTGCTATAGGTGATCTGAAAAGTATATAGATCTTGCAAAAAAACAAAGATGACATTTCTTAAATATAAAAAATTGTTAGCTTTCCACTAATTCTTGTACTTTTAAATCTTTGATGATTAATACACAGGGTGTCCATAAAATTTCTATATTTATAACACAAAGTCTGTGTAAAGTATAAAGAGACTTTATAGACACCCTGTATCTACTGTACATCCTTCAATAATGAATGAAAGCATAACTTTTATATATTGTGCTCTAATGCAATGTCTCTGTGAATTGTCATCTTTGTGCAGTATTTGTTTGTAATTGTGTGTTCTATTAATGTTTGTTCTGAACTATATAGTTGACTCACTTAAATGTACAAGTCCGTTTGTCTGTTTCCATTTTGCATTCTATAGTATTATATTTGCCTTTAAACCCTATAGAGCAGTTGTGCTTGTTTTGAAAATATGATATTCAAAAATATAAATAATGTATTGGCTAGATGTGGTCACATGACCATCCATCTAACTGATTTGATTGGTTAACTTTGGTCTCATGACCACATGGTCTGGTATGAAAGTCAAATAAGGTTTGTAATCTTAAACTCTAAAAGATAATAGAGCAATTTTTAGCATCTAGCCTGAGAATTCTTTTTTTATTATTTCAATTTATCTTGTTGAAATTAAATTATATGCACTTTATAATATTTGAGTGAGCCAACTGTCTAACACACTTGTCTATACTGTAATTTCTCAACATAACACTGGGCTTTGTTCTTACTTAAACCATATTTTCTAGCCTATTCTGGAACACCAACTAGACGTGCACCAACCCGCAGCTCTCACTCAGAGCCCCGCCCAAGACCCCGCAGTTTTGCCGGGCGATTACCAGATTTTGCTCGCCCTACTATGTCATCTGAAGCGATGGCTGGGCGCCCGGTTGAGCGTTGTCCGTTTAATGGTAACTATTCAGGAAGCAGCTTTTTGGCATGTGCACGAAGCTATAAGATCCACAATATAGCTAGCTATGCAATATTTGTGTACCCGTTTCTAATGTCAACATGGAATAGGTTGTTTGCATTTTCTGAAACAAAAAGCTAAGATGTACTTTCCAATTAAGTGTATTATCACATATACTACATATACTAAAATAAATGTAAGTAAAAAGAATCAGTTGAAACTATTAAAAGCTTTGATGTACACAGGATACCATTATTTATTCCATAGTTAGCATGATATTCATAGGATAACATGTGAAAATAAAAACGGTATTTTTGTAATCAGTGGTAAAATATGATATTTTTGACAAATTTTCACTTAACCATAACATACGGTTTTTTAGCCATGACATACGACGTCGTATGCGATGGTTTATGGATTTTTGCTACTTAAGACTCAAAACGAGGCTAAGTGTCAACATCGCTGGATCGTTTGGAAATTCGAATTAAATAACTTAATTTCCGACGATTCTGATGATAACTTTAACTATGGAATAAAAAGAACATCCTATGATTTACTCGTGATATGATTTTAATCCACTCATGGATATTGATATCTGCACTCTCTCGCTACGCTCGCTCATGCAGATATCATATCCATTCGTGGATAAAAATCATATCACTCATAAATCATAGGATATCCTCTATATCCGCCATATATCATTCATGTGAAACAGTTCGTATATGTTGATAAAGATGGCATAATGGTCAAATTATGGAATGTAAAATTGATTGAAAATAATATAATTGGCAGTGAATAGACTAGAAATACATGAGGTCAGTTCTCTATATAAATTTGACATAAAATCAGGCTGTTTTTGTATGAGGTCATAATGATAAAATTTGTAACATTGGACATTTGAAAAGGACGCAAATATTGTTCAGCTAGCTTCTGTTGATCAGTGCTTAAACATGGCCAGTTTTATCCCCAGAGTTGATGTTGTATGGTGAATCCCTTTTTGACACACATCAGTACATATACCCTTTTCCCTTTGTTGTACAGTTTGTCTAGTTTTAGCCCCAAAGTAGATGTTGTTTTAGCAAATCCTATAGATGTAGCATAGATCCATTTCCATATCTCGAGTATGTCCAGTTGAGTTGAGTTGAATTCCTTGAGTTGATGTTGTTTTACTGAGCACCCCCTCCCACCTTCCCCAATGCACAACATATCCATTTTGCACCATAGAATACCTCTACAATCACATGTTGATGAGAGCCATTGTACAAATTAATAACTTGTACTTTCCACATATTTTGGACTGTTTCCCATTAACATTCACCCAGTTAGCAGAATTTAGTTCATTATGTCACCACCAGAACTGGTGACATATTTTTATAATCTCCAACTTTTATTTGAACGGTGTTCGGCAGTTGGTGTTTGGTGACTTTAACAAATGGTCGGTGGTGACATTTTGCGTGTTAATGCCTTGTCTTTTAGTTATTATATGAGTATCAACTATCAGCTTTATTTCTCTTTTACTTAGTATACTTTAGCTACTGAACAGCTAAAGGCATGCATAATTTGGTTTTCACATTGAATCCAGTGCATTAATTTTAGTTGAAGCATTGCAGTTTTTGCATGGCTCACAATTCTGTTTATGTCTAAATGTTATAATATACAGAACAGGGTGACACATAGAATTTAAACCAACATGTTCTAAACTTAGAATTTATCAGGTTGTAGTAATATAAGTAAATATAAAGCAAATGCTATGGCTTATGCATGAATTAGTCATAAGTTTTATGTAATAAGATATAAATATTATTGTAGGACAGATTTATAGATCCATATCATGCCCTCATACTGTTTGTAGATGGATCATATTTTGTACGAGGTTGATATAATGAGTTTGTATCAAGATTATTTGAGACATATTTGTTACATTCAGATTTTTAGAACAAAAAATATGGACAGATTCTTCATAATTTTTTTCATATTTTCATGAAATAGTGTTTCAAAAAATAGTTTATATACAAGCATGATGCCTTTTCAAGCTCTAGCAATAAAATCATAGAAGTACCTAAATGTTGTGCAGAACTTTATGTATATGTGAAATGTTGTAATTTAATTGATAATTTGTTGACTGATTTTATTTTCAGCAGCTTGTGTAGTTGCCTTGCATCAAGTCTCAATGATACCCCCCCCCCATATTATTTTCTTCAAACAGAGACTTGAGATTAGCAGGGTGGGCTAGAGACTACATGTATATGCAAAATGGGGATTGTAGGGGGCTATGACAGAGGCAGACTTCATGAGAAGTTGGGTAAACATGAGAGTATGGGGGTTGATTTGATTTGAACACTATATCTATTCTGAGTAGCTCTATCATTACAAAGACTGGTCTTACTAGAGGCACATTGTTGACCTGATTATATTAGAATAAATAACCATTAGTAATAAGACCTCTACAAAAAACAATTGGGAGGAGACAGCAATCCCTGGTGGTCAAAATATTACATGCATAAGTTATCTACACTTGTAGCGAAAACCTCCCTTATAAGGGCTTGTACCTGATGAGAGCAGGGAGGGAAGAGGGGGGGGGGGGGGGTAGAGACTTGATGCAAGACTTGGCACAATATCTTCACATTTCTTGCAATCTGCAAGTTAAATAAAATCTTTCTTGAATGAGCAATCACTTTTCTACTTTTCTCTCTTTTCTGATATGATGTACAACCCTAAGAAATGGCTCAAATTACATTGTTTTAGCTAATTTTGGGTTGCTGTGTAATATACTGTTTCTTGGTTTAGTACTACTATAGATGTATAGTATAATACTGCAAAATGTTTTTGTGGATTTTCTACTATTTTCTGTACAATATCAAAATGTTATCATTCTATATAAATGCAGGCAGTACAGACCGTCTTGATTTTGATATCATTACGAACAGTTATAAGAAAGAAAAATGGTTGAAAAATCCTCTTTTATTTACTATTTCACATCGTCAAAACGGGACACACATTGCAAAGCCATGGCTCATTGAAAAGCATTGTCCTATGACATTATAATCATTTATAGATGAGGTTTTAAATATCAGTTATTCTGAATTGTATATGGCTTTGTTACGTGTTAGAGATTGTACTGCTTTTGTGATTGAATTTTTGAATTTTGTGATTGATGATATTTGATGTTGTGTATCTATTTTCTATGATAGTAACTTCTCCTAGAGAAAGAGCCCATAGTTGCGATAATCGTTTTGGTATCTCGAGACGCCAAATTGTCGATATCCATAAAATGGTGAATCGACTAGGTGAGACTTTCATTGGATCTCTGGTTGTGACGCTCTGGCTTCAACCTCTTCATTGATAAAAGATACTAGAAATGTAAAATAGATTGCAAAGAAAGAACAGTGCAAGAAATGAACAATTTATCTGCAATTTATTCAGCCGCTCAGAAATCATAATATTAATATAAGATAGAAAGTTAAAAAATTCAACTATTTTATTTTTACAAAGATGCTGGAGCCAGTATGGTCACTTTAATAGTTCAAAGTTGTGTGAATGGCTTTCCATTAATGATTAATTACTTTGAATTGCTTGTTTGTTTTGAATGGATTTCTGTTTGGATGGCAATCTCTTTAAAATGTAATCTTGTTGCTGTTTGAATGGCTTTCAGTTTGAAATGTTTGTAGAGAATGACCTCCAGTTGTTTGAATTTAATTACATTCAGTTGTGTGAATGGGTTGGAGTTCCTTGAATGGCTTTCAGTAGTTAAAAATGGCTTAATTCAGTTGTTTGAGTATTTTTTGAATACCCTTATTCATTTGTTTGAATGATCCTTTTCATTTGTTTGAATGACCTTATTCACTTGTTTGAATGGCTACTATTTGTTAGTTATTGCATGACACCATTTGTGATCAGGAACTCATTGGCGGATTTATAAAGTATTGTTTGAACTATTTGTATTATCTTATAGTTATGTTCGTAAACCCTTGTTCTCCTGCTTAACTGTAGCTTTGAAATATGTAAATTGGATTTGTTCAATTTTTTTTTTTATATTATATTAAATTATTTATTTATAATGCAGTTAAGGCATAGAATCAACATTATATTAAGATGCACGGCTTTGAAATCGCTTCAATCCTTGCATTGAATAAATTATATAGGTAGACTTTGTAAAAGCTCAGCTTTCATAGTCAGTATCAGAGTATAATAAAAACAGTGCTCTCCCCAGAACTTTATCCTCAAGTGGATGCAAAATTCTCATTTTTCGCAATTTTTGGTCAGATTATGCCAATTTGTGATGTTGATTATCTCATTTTAAGGAGTTACAATTGAATCTCTATGTTGTTTGAAGTCTTAGTTATTAAAATGTTAAATGAGTGCAGCGCCCACTTGTTTCAGTTCTGGGAGATCGTGTATACAGAGTAAATATTTGCCAAAACATGTGCAAACTACAGTGGATCATTATGTTTTATTTGGTGCCTTTTATTTTACACGAGCATCTTGTTCGCTTTTTTCATTTCCTTTTCACATCATTTAGAATATACAAACTTAATGTTGTAGCTTATTTTATATTTCTCATTCATCACATTTTCTGGTTGTGGAAAAGCATGTTTCTCATACCAATGCAAAAAGGGAGCATAAGACAATTCTAGTGTTAACATTCAAGTGTGACTAGGCACAAAATGTGATATATTCAAATGTGACTAGAACAAAATGTGAAATATTCAAATGTGACTAGCACAAAATGCGAAATATTCAAATGTGACTAGGCACAAAATGTGAATTACTCGTATTTTGCGACTTCTTTCAAAACTGGTGAATTCAAAATTGGCGAAAAGGTTCATTTTTTGCAATGGTTAATAAAAGAAAATTCATCTTCATAGGTAACATTTTAGTAATTTTCTGGATTGTATTACATTTGAAGCTGGTAGTCAGAATCCACATTCTCGTTCCCGGAGCCTTGATGTGAGAAGTAGGCGATCACAGAAACTGGAACGACCTCGGGATAAAGCATATAGTGATAAGGCATTCTCTGACAAATCCCTAAGTCCTAACAAACATAAAAAAGGTACACTAGAATATGGGGCATGGTTTGTTAGCATCAACCTTAGGTGTAATCTAAGTTTGAGCATGGCCTGCATGGACTTTTGAAAAGGAATTACTTTAATTGCTTTAGTCTATCTTACACACTTGGTGCATGATTCTTTATTAATATTTAGTTTTAAATTGCTGATTTACTTAAAAGTTGCAGGGATTTTTATTCAGTTCTAATTAAAGAGTTAATACTGAGTTAATTAGAGGCAAAGCATTTTAGGTTTGAGATCCTCAAAGAAGACCCTTGTGTTCTTAACACTATGTGGAGACAGTATGCATCCTTATCCATAATATAGATACATTAGGTCTCATTATTATGCATTATGTTGAAATATATTATGTGAATACTCCATTTTGAATCATGGAAAAGGTAAACATGTATTATATGTTATTTAGGTATATTGGAACTGTAAATAAGGCTGATAATGAGAGAAGTTTCTTACTTATACATGAATATATAAACTGATCAGCTATATTGACTAAACAGAATGACATGCCTTTACAAAACTACATGGACTTTATCTATTAGATCATTCAATTTTACAGCATCTTGAGTTTAGTAAAAACATCATAAGTGATTTAAGCAAATAACTATTCTTTGTAAACATGTTTTCTCAATGATCTATTTACTTTTGTGTTAAAAGAGCACAAAATGTGAATGCCTGTTAATCTGAACACTTAGCTGGTCCAATTAATGTTCATATTAGATAGGTTTTACTGTATAATGATTTATGGGAAAAATGCACCATGTAGTTATGTAGAAGTATTGTCATTAGGCAATAATGCCTGTTCACATTTGATCTACGGCAACTGTATGGCAACTGTACCTTCCCAAAATTGAGAGAAGTATGTAGCATCAAATATAGGGATAAGCAGTATGATGTAGATTTTCTATATATCGATTTTGTGAAGCTACAGTTTCCATATAGCAAATATGACTGAGGCTTAAGTCACATAACTTGCTAAAAATTTATATTCGGAATGGGAATTATTATCAATGAATGAAACTAACAGGCTTAATGCTGACACTGAATGTGTAGAAACGGCCTTCTATGGAAAAATACTAAAAATAACAATGCCCTCAATTTGACTTTGAGCATAATCCTCATGCTCAAGAGATGTATTAATCATTTTGAGTTTCTAAAAGATAGCATGCCTGATAGAGGTGTAGCATATTAATGATGACAATCATATTAATCATAAAAAATATTAGCATGAGCCCATAGCATTTGCTTAATACACTTATATTGCCTGTGATTTACATGTTATACTAATAAATGGCTGATATATAATAGATTGGTCTCGCAATATTTTGCGATTGTGTAATTTGCCCATATAATTGTGGTGATACATATTTATAATACCCAATATGAAATATCCCCTGTTTTGTGCGCTGTTCTGTAGATTTTATCGTTGTTGTAGTATTTTGTAGAAAAGTGACTATTTTATTCTTTTTCTATCTTATTTAGAAGTATTTTACCTATATTGTAGCATAAATAACATAAGATCTTATTTATTAACATGTAGACTAATGAATATTAGAAATTGTGAAGATATTAAAAAAGAGTGTTACAATTTACTAACCAAGCAGTTTTCGTGAATGTATCATCCTACTGCTTGCTTGAGATATGGCAGCCACATGTAGTATATTTTCCATTCTGTTGTTTTTTAGTGGAGTCCAAAGGTACACCTGAACGTCGTGCCCAGAGTGCGGATCCTCTGGCCCGCAGGTCCATCACCCCTTTGAACCCTTCTATACAGAGGTCCATAGATCGACTCTCTGCTCCCAAGACACAGCCTTCGGTCAGGGCTGCTTCAGCGTCGTCACCAACAAAGGATCATACCACCCCCACAAGGGCTGCTCCCTCTCCACCCCCTAAAAGGACCCCACCACCTCCAAGGGCAGCCCCGTCCCCTCCTCCTAAATCAGCCTCATCAATGCCTAAGTCAGCATCTTCTACCCCCAAAAATGGCCCCTCTACCCCCAAAAATGGCCCCTCTACCCCTAAGGCCACTGCATCGCCAAGAAGAGAGAAACCTTCTCCAGCCAGAGAAATGTCTAAATCAGCGCAACAGAAAGTGCCACCTAGCTCCGAGATGACCAAGTCAATGGATAGACTATCAGCTCCCAAAGCTCGTACAACACCGGTGAAAGAAAATAAAACAAAAGAGGAAAAACCAAAGGTAGTTTCGAAGTTCAAGGAATTATGTTGTGTGACATCTGTTTTGTATATCTTATATATAGTTTAATGCACATCGGCAAGAAGATATTACCAACTGTGTAATTCTTCCATGTAAATAAATGAAGGAATTGCCCATTTCTGCCGGCTGTGTGTTAGACTGTATCTAAATGTTCATTGGTAGATTAAGGTCGCAATTCTGTTTTAAGGTAGGCTGAGTTGAAAAATATTCTGGTTACCATCAGGAAGAAACAGGCTCAAAGTAATCTCACTCTGCCTACCTTAAGAGCAACATATCATTTGCAAAGTCTTGCTTGGCTTCACACTTCCATTTCAAAGAAGAAATGCCTAACGATCATTCCTTGGCGTTATCTCAGCCCTGTTTTTGATTGGCTGAGAGTGATGCTCCTGTCCATCACGTTATGAGATAGAAAATTAAGAAAATCATTCACATTTTCACTCAGTTGGGGCATATCTTCTTCTTTTCCTTTGTATGTGTTTTCTAAACTTTGATAAAAACTGTAAATTAAGTTCTAAATACTGAACTTTATATTGAATTTATTATACAGTACATGTATTGTACAACTGGTATTGTTAGTACCTCAGTTGAAATACTCGATTTTGATTGGTCAACGAGCGGTGAATAATTTTAACTGTACACCGCGCAATGCATTGCCGGTGAATAATATTCCCAGCATTCAACTAAAATGACGTCATTATCAGACGATAAAATGGCCGCCGCTAGCACTAGCCGTTTCAAAAATGTTGGAGATGAGGATATTATTAGTCTCTTAGAGAGTAAAGACAGTCAAAATACGAAGAAATATCTAAAACTTTGTACAAAGCTTTTAGTGGACTTCGCCCAGGAGAGTAATTTGACTCCATTGAGTGAACTTACTGCCGATATACTGAAATACAACATGAACGTCTCGAGGGTCTGGATCCAACTTCAAGTCAACTTCAAGGGTCAGAAAAATCTAAGATATTCTTCGGACTAACAAAACAATTATAGACCTCTCCATTCGGTTTACTGTCAAAATTATATCCCTCGACTGTAAACCTCGACCTACGGTCTCGGATACAGTCTCAGGATATAATTTTGACAGTAAACCTCTGGAGAGGTCAATAATTGTATATAATACTGTACAATGTTCTGTGTATTGTATTTATATTGTACAATGTACTGGTATTGTTGTCACAATTTGTTGGACACAATTACCCTGTAACTTTGGTATATCCCAAATGTAAAATTGTTTTAAAATGAGTGGCATCGCTACTAGCCATGAAGTCTCTGACCTATGACAATAGAGGATCAACTACAAGATTTTGTCATATCCATTTCCAAATTTTTTTCTTTTTCGATTGTGAGATCTCTTTTTGACAAGGGTAAGCTCCTCAAATAGGCCAAAAAGATAAAGATATTTCACCATCAGAATCCTGAACTACCTGTATGTATTGTAGCTTAGCTTTATGTTGTATTCACAGTCAAATGCACATCTCCAGGAAACACAGCAGGTCTAAAGAATCCACCATACACTAACATGGTCTGATATTTAGATTGCCATGTTTTTGGGGCTGTGCAGAAGTCTGTTCACGTATTGTGTGCATTTCAGGGTCCAATGAAAGCCACCCAGCCTTTACCCAAACCAGCACCTAAAAATAACAATGTCAAGCCTATCAAGAAAAAGGTTGGTCCCATTGATTTTCAGATATGTAGTTGAAAGAAGGCTTTCTAAAAGGATTCTTTTAAGAGATCTGTTGATATGTTACTGTTTTTTCATAATTATATGAGTTTCTGTGCCTGATAGATGTATTATTCCACCTCAATGTGATCTTAAATCTTTTCCCACATGTCATGTTAACAATAATAGTGTTTTCACCTCCATTTGACAATTTAATAACATGTTGATATTTATGTAAATGTTTTACCAACTGATTGACCTCAGAGCATTCACAAATTCAACTGCTGTCAGCTGAGGATTTGACCACTTTCTTAGATATGAATAGTAGCAGGTACTATTCTTGTTTGAATGAGATGGTTATTATAAAATAACGGTCAAATCACCAACTGACTGCCGGTGGTTGAATTCGCAAATTCTAGCGAGTCTAAAACAGGATCACATTTTTTGATGCCTTAATGTCATTATATGGCATTATTTTTTCTAGCTCTCTGTGACTCTGTCTCTCTATCCATTGATTTCGCTTGCTTTCATTTCTATGCGTGGAGATGTATTTTTTTTTCAGAAAAATTATTACAAAGATTGTTTCAGTTTATAACAGCTTAAGTATAACTGGAATGTTAAGAAGCAAAGTACACAAACTCAGCTTCTTTCACTCATTCATATAAGAATCAGTATAGACTATCTACATTTGTTTTTTTAACCACAATAATTGAAAACAAATTATGGGCTCAAAAACCCGCGATTCAATTGAGATATGTTTATACATGTATGAAAAATTGGTTTTGAATTTTTGCGGAAACATTCCACTTCAGAATAATAGTAAACTGAATTAGTTTGTTTTCTTCCAACATGGTTATATTAGCATTGTAGGCATTATCCCGATCACAATGGTATATAACAATCCTATATTTGAGAAAAAGCACGGAGGAAAAGTCAATCCTTATAGACACAGATCCTTTTAGCAAAATTCAGGAAATTTGATTTTGAGATTTCTTGAAATTTCTTTGGGGTAGGGGTACACCTTACAGATTGCATCACAGATTGAGTACACCCAACTGAGGTGAACATGGCCATATGGGGTATCATTGGAAAGCGATTTCTACTATCTTTCAAGTGATATCCATGCCAAGGCGTTCAATTGCATCTTATGACGTCATATTGGTAGGAAGAAACAAAGGTTCATTCAAAACTGCCCCGAAAACAATTGAATGGCACTTGAGAATGGAATTCGGGGTACTTGGTACAGTGGCCTCGCCCCCAAAACACCAAAATTGCTTCAAAATGTCACGATTTTGGTAGCATTGTTCAGCTAAGATACAGCCCTTTAATATGATATGCGCTATTAGGCTTCTCAATGAACTAAAAAACCTCAAAAGGGATAAAACCTTCAAAATGCCCCAAAAAAGCGCCTTCTAATAGGTTGAAGATCACAGTAGAGTTTCCCATAGGTGGCCATTATAACATTTTACCCTGTATCTTATTAACGATTAGTATCCAAGCCTAGTGCAGCATACCACAGTGTTCAAGAGAGACTCGCCTAGCCTGCTATAACAATCTTACCATGGGTTGTCCACCGAATTTTTGAAATAAATAAACTTGAAGACACTAACCCCCTCTATCGTCAGATTTCTCAGAGAATTCTGGTAAAATCACCAAGGTCAAAATCACTCCGCCGCCAGCTTAAAATGAGATTTCCCACTGAACTCTGACATGTTTTCAGATAAATTAGGACCTACCCTATAAATATTTAGTCCCAATTCACTTCCCAAATGCTAGATGGCGCTCCAATGGGGTAGGGAAGGAGAAAATGACTTTTTATTCAGAAAACCAAATCACTAACGGTAACCGCAAATGTCCTTACTCAGGACTATATCCATATGAGTCATATATGAATAATGTTCCATTTAATTGTTCATCAATTTTAATTTAAAAAATAAATATTTCAGTCTCCGAAGGATTCACCTGCTAGCACACCAGATCGTGAAAAATCTCCCGCAGTTTCTAAAATTGAAGCCGCTCCAGCACAGAACAAAATTACTGACCAAAAAGAAAGCAAGTCAGTCCCACAACCAGTTGAGACATCTGCACCAGAAACTAAGACATCTGCAGAAAGTAAAAGTTCAAGTGAGAAGAAATCTAATGAAAAGGGTGAGAAAAGTGCTAATGATATATCACAGGAAGAGTATAAAGCTAAGATTGCAGAGAAAAGGAGGCAAGCTAGAGAGAAGGCTGAGAGGGAAGCGGAGCTGGAGAGACAGAGGATAGAGGAAGAAAAGTATGTAATATTCCTTATAGTTTGTAGTATTTGCACCCACTTGAAAAAGTTAGGAATTGTTAATAATAATGATATTTAAGGAATTGTAAAATGAGAATTGTAAAATTTCCATCCACTTGAGGAAAGATTCCCTGGAAAAAGCAATAAAACCTTATTTTACTTTTTTACATTTTGCATGTTATAAATGCCTTGTATCATCTTCCTATCATCTTACTTATTTAGGCGCAAAGAAGAGGAGAGAATACGTCTTGAAGAAGAGGAGCAAGCAAGATTTGAGGAGGAACAAGCCAGACTTGCAGCAATATCTAGGGCAGCTGAGGAGGAGCGACTCAGACAGGCCATTGAGGCAGAAGAGAGGCGTAAGAAGGAAGAAGAGGAAAGACAGGAGAGGGAGAAAAAAGAGGTAACGCAAAATAGTCTATATATGTGATCTCTTGTATTGAAGCAGGAGGTGTATATCATTGGAAATTCTCAACATTGGTTAATGAAAACACAGAATGAAATCCTGTACTAAGGGCTGATGTGAAAAAGGCAGTACACCCCAGTGGGGATCGAACCCAGGACCCCTCATTTTCAGGGCAAGTGCTCTACCACTGTGCACCAATCTTAAAACTCATTTGCCTCTGTCAGAAAGGCTGAATTATTACTGTATAGGTTTGTACAATGAAAAGCTTGTTTATAACTATATTTCGAGAAAGAATGTAGAAGAAATGATTGCAGAAAGAGAACATGGATAAAAAGGTTAAATTATCACTTCATGTTTGTAGAAAGAAGAAGCTGACAGAAAAGCCAAGGAAGATGCCGAGAAACAGGAGAAGGAAAAGTTAGAAAAGAAGAAGAGAGAAGAAGATGAACGTCTGGAGAGGAAGAAGGTAAACTTTTCTTATACTCCAAAAATTGTTTCTAGATATTGTTATACAAATTGTATATCTTTCTGGGGAGTATGTGTGCACCCATAGTTTTCCCTCAAGCAAGAGGATGAATAGGGCAATCACTTTTAGTTTTCATATTGAGGCAGTAAACATTACAAGAACATATCACAGGTGTCATTTGACTGTGTTCAAATAATCACAGAATGAGAAATCTGACAATTTCTGAGAACCTGATTTTGCCAGAAAATCAATGTTTTACAAACAATAATGAGTATTAAGATGAATAGGATGTCATTATAATTCCTATGATTAGAATTTACAGTATCAGCCAACATCAACTAAAAATTAGTACAACAAATAGAATGAAAATTTCTTGCGTTCGAAAAACAATAAAGAATACATATGTATGAATAATTCTGAAATTGTGGAAAAAATATTTGAAAAATCATTGTTGTTTTTTATAGAGACTTGAAATGATCATGAAGCGTGTGAAAACAGACAACACTGATAATAAGGTAAGTAGCTCTTGACCAGCCATTATTTCTTATAGTATGAGTATGTATGTGGGTTTATTATTCTCATTAGTATATGCTAATTGAGTTGAGATTTACATTAGACTTGTTTTTGTTTTTTTTTAGGTTAAATTAGCAAGTGTTTTTCTAAAGTGAACAGCATCACATTTGAAATTGAGTCAGTACTTACATATGCAGGGATGAATCATATCTTAAAATTTGAGGAAGATTTTGCATTGGTATATAAGCTAATGAACATCACTTAACAAGTTCGATTGAATAACAACTTGATGCACAGTATCAAGTAAACATGTGACAGCACAGAGAACTGAAGTTCAAATTCTTTATCCGATTCATGTATTACTGTCTTACTTTAGAATTTCATTCGCACTACACAATTTCCAAGTAAACTGCATTTGCTGAAATGCATTTAGAAAAAATTGAGGCGATATTTTTTTTTTTAGATTTTGTCAAAGGCTGACAAAAAAATTATGAGTTTAGATACACGTACATGCATTAATTTTGACACTTTCCTGAATATCTACTGCGCATCCCAAACAGAAATCTATATATCTTTATATTTATAGTAACATGATAGGAGGCTAAAGGATTCAAATGTTTTGGTGTCCTACCATTTAATAAAAGTATGTTCATGATCTACAGTGATAAAATATTCAGTTTGATGTCTATAAATTGATTCTAGAGGGAGCAACCTACCAGAAATACTTATATATTTGTTGTGATTTGTAGCAATATGGATTTCAGATAAATTTAAGAGTTTTTGCTGTCTTTCAGTCTGATGGTAATTCCCGTCCAGGAAGTGTTTCACCCCCAGAATCTAAAACACCAGACGAGGCTGTAATCGACACCACACCCGTCATCAAAACAACTGAGGCGCCCCCTGCTGTTGTAGCAGCCAAAGAGGCTTCACAGAATGAAGAAGCCCCGAAATTTAAGTCACCATTACTTCAGAGCCTTCTTGGTAAAAAACGTAATCAAGATGGCGACATGAAAAGAAGCACGGATAATTTATTAGAAGAAATGAGAAAAAGTAGTAGTTCAGAGAATCTTTCCTCCACTGGTATGACTGATAGTATGACCAGAAGTGTTACAGAACGAATGACGCAGAGCGTGATTGAGACTGTGACACAAAATGTAATAACAGAGGGTACAGAAAGCCTAACAGCAAAAAGCACGGAAACATCTGACAAAGAGAAGGAAAATGGCGATGATAAAGATGTTGATACAACAGAAACTGTTGATACAAATGACAACAGCTCACTAGATGAAGCTAGCGAAACCAAGGTTGTGGTAACAACTACAACGGAAAACTTAACAGAAAGCATTGAAACATCTGCCAAAGAGAAGGAAAATGGCGATGATAAAGATGTAGATACAACAGAAAGTATGGATACAAATGACAACAACTCACTAGATGGAGCTAGTGAGTCCCAGGTTGTGACAACTACAACTGAAATTTCCAAAAGCGAAAGCCCAATAGCTGAATCCACTGAGAGTGAAGTCATCTCCACTGAAGTCATAACAACGACCCAGACAACAACTGTTGTAAACACTATCAATGACAATGCTAATGACAGCACTGATGGGGACACAAATAAAGGGGAAGTAGATAATAAAAATGCCGGAGTTCATGACAACACGGCTAACTTAGCTCATGAATATGTCAAAACTGTGATTCAAAATAGTCAAGATATGCTTAATGTAGATGAAGATGAATTAGGGGCGGGGGACATTCATAATGACTCGCATAGCAATGGTAGTGATCAATCTGATCATATTGCCATGGAAACAGCAGTTGCTATGGAAACAAATGGTGATTCAAATACAAACACTACCACTAATGTAACCAAGACAATAGTTGTACACAAGGAGGGTGAACCCTCTGAATTAATGGATTTAAATGGTGATTTTAATATAGAAGATGCTAAGACTACAACTACCGTTACTAAAACTATTAAGACAGTCAATGGATCCATGGAAGGAATCGATTTGGATAACATTGGACTAATAGACACTAAAAGGTAAGGTGACAGAAATTGAAGTCCACAAGAAATAGTAGAATCTTTTTGAACCTGATTATGATGGATAATCTGAAATCCCTAAGAAAAAATACTGCTAGACTGTCATATAGCTCATCTGGCTCTGATCAAGTGTTAACCTTTTCTTTGGATAAAAGTCCCCAACTCTACTGTACTATTTTAGCTTTTGGTCCAATGTCCCCTTTGCTCTGATATTATATTAAGATCCCTATGATTAATGGAACATAGCCTGCCCTATTGGTATTGATAATAATATTGGTAAACTGTGACATCCCTAGTGGCCAACAAAGTTGGATTGATAATTTGTTAAATGCCAATAGATGTTACATTATCTAGTATGAATTGATATTGTTTATATTATACTATATCATTATTTGTTTTATAGGTTTTTCCATGTGTTATCTTGAATTTAACCTATCATCTTCCTTTCATGTTTTTTAGTGGTGGATTAATCCACAGTCAAACCACTACAACAAAAACAACAACAGTGTTACAGTCTGGAGAGTTAACGACTGATCAGACATCATCGAACACATTTGATCAGCTGATTGATCTAAACCAGTTCCCAGCTCAGAGTGGAGAGGGTGATGGTCTCGATCTAATCAACTCTAACAAATTAACTACAAATCCTCTTATAGCCTTTGAGGATAATGCAGTCACGAAACCTCAAGAAAATATCACAGGTATTTGGCTATAATATTTTTTTATTATGTTCAATATTCTGTTTGACAGATTCATCAATGTTAATTTTTTGCTCATGCATCTATTAAAGCATGGATTTCAAAAATATTCAGTTTATATACAACAATAAACTTCAAAACAACTTTGATTTCCAGCAGGAGGCACACATATAATCAATTGTCTTTTTTGAGCTGCTCTGTGCCAAAATCTGTTTCTTGTATTATGTCAGTCTATGTACATGAAAAGTGGTGAATATTTTAATCAAGTGGAGCTTTTGAGATCTCTTACTTCCTGCACTAGGACTTACTCCCTTTTTTTTATGTCACCACAAGAAGTCATTACATATTGTTTTTACATACTGTTATCTTAACGTATAGAACAGTGGTAAATCGAGGACCCTTTGAAGATTTCATGGAAGTAGTATATCCAAATTAGCATGAATCTGCTTTGTTTCTGAAAATAAAGAACACAAGTTTTCAATATTTTGCTGCAAATGTAGCCCTCAGTGGTACCATAATGCATTTGTTTATGTACTCTGATCAATCTTTAATGCCAGTATGGCAATTGGATGTTGAAATGTTTATTCTTGACTGTTATCTCTATAAGTTAAGCTACTGTTATATAATAGAGAGGTTTCGCAGGTGGGTTATATCTAAAACATATCCGCAACCCCATCTCGTTTAAATTGAACTGTTATGCATAAATATGGTGAATGCGTTACGAATTTTAGATAGGTTGAGCTAAAAACATTGTACAAAACCTCTCTTGATATACACTTAAAGGAGGAGGGAAGTTAGCGCAACAGATTTTGGACAGTCATATGTTTGATTTTGGCCATTTCATGGGGATTTAAACAGGTGCATCTGTTAGGCGAATGCATTACCTCCAGGAAAATCACTTCTAGAGATGATAAAATTATTTCGACTTTGAGACAGGGTAGATGCAAACAACCCACCCACATGTTTTTTCTGAAATGTTTTCCTGATTTTCAACCCCTTCCATCCTTGCTTTTTTAATTTTTCTTGCATCAATATGTTGCGTTTTGACACACAGTTAATCCCTTAAAAGGAATAAATGATTCCTTTTAGATAAAGTGGAAAACAATATTTCCCATGTTATTTTCCCATAGGAAAAATCATTGCTTTCAGCTAAGTTTGGTCACCCATAATGGGTATCTTTAAAACCCCAAAAGGAATCACTTATTCCTTTAAAGTGGTTAACTATGTGTCAAAATGCAACATATTGATGCAAGAAAAATTAAAAAAGCAGGGATGGAAGGGGTCCAAAATTAGGAAAACATTTCAGAAAAAACATGTGGGTGGGTTGTTTGCATCTGCCCTGTCTCAAAGTCCAGATTATTTTATCATCTCTAGAAGTGATTTTCCTGGAGGTAATGCATTGGCCTAACATATGCAATTGTTTAAATCCTCAGAAAATGGCGAAAATCCAACATATGACTGTCCAAAATCTGTTGCGCTAATTTCCCTCCTCCTTTATAATTTAAGAAGTCATTAATTGTTTTAAATATTCAAAAATGTGATATAGAAAGTCAGATAATATTTAAGTACCTTCTGTTGAATCTAGTTTTGAATCCAGTTTGCCGCCCATGTCGTCTATTCTGATGTAGCTGTGTAAGATTACACATCCAGCACCTAACAGGATAAAACAAGCCACCATTGACATTATGAACTCGATGGACCAGATGTTACTGACATTGAAGATTGCGTCAGCTTCATTTCTCATATTCTTTTCTGTCATATTAGTTTCTTGTTCAGTTTCTTTAGTTTTTATCTCTGTTTGCATTGGATTTTGCTCCGTTGTTATGTCAGATTTTTTTGTTTGGGTCATTCTTTTCAAAACTATGGTACCAAGCTCCATATTTTTCCTGCCAAGATTCTCTCTTTCTTTTTGTTCAGTGGTAACATCCTCTTGAACAGCCTGTTCATCCTCTTTAACAGCCTCTGTATTCTCCTCTACAGCCTCTTTCTCATCTTTTACAACCTCTCTATTCTCCTCTACAGTCCCTTTATCCTCTTTTATTTGATCTTTATCATCACCTTGTACTGTTATGACTTGTACAACCTTCTCATTATCTTTTACAATCATGTCCTTCTCTTTATGAATATGTACAGCTTTGGCATCATGTATAATCAAGCAGCCCTATGAAAAACAAGAAAATGATGATTAAAGGCATATCTTATAATGATATAATCACCAGTACAAGGCCTCCTAGACTTCCAAACTCGCAAACCATGGTTCTCAAAATGCGAATATCGATGCTTTAGTCATGATTCACCAATTCCTCTCCAGAACATATTTCTCCACTCGCCAACAGAGTTCCCACATCGCGAACCACAAAACTGTATGGTTCATGTAGTTTGCGATGTGGGAAACCAGTGCGCGAGTGGAGAAAAATGTTTGGGAGAGAGCAACTGGTGGTTTGCAACTAAAGAATCAATATTCGCGTTGTAAGAACCATGGTTTGGGTGGAAGGAACATATTTGCTAGGACGGAACTGATGATCGTGTTAGTGGAAGTCTAGGATGCCAAAGTAGTTGTATTTGTAAAATGAAATACAGTGGATTACTTTTATTCACTACTTTATTGTACATTCATCAATTTATGTGATGATACATGTACAAATTTCACTAATAAATAACTTATTCTAAAACTTATTCCATTGAACTACAAGGAATCTGTCTTTCTTTTCTTGCTTCAACTATTCAGTAGATAACTCAAATACCAGTTGACCATGTTGACAGATTGGGTTCAAATTGTAAAGGCCGATGCCCTGTGGCAGTAAATTCCCAATATGCTGCTGAATTTAAAATGGCCACCATTTTTCATAAAATATTTGGTAAACTCAAATACCAGTTGAAAGATTTAATTTATAAGCTGATGCTTAAGGAACATAGGAACTGTTGAACTTTAATTGCAATTATCAGATTTGACCGAAATTTTATATTATTCGATGGGAATAAGCCCAAGTCAAAATTAGCACTGTTTTTCTCCAAAATTTTTAGTATTTTTTCAGAATATGATCTGTTACATCAGAATTATGATTTGAAAAAGAAGTCTATATAATAGGTGCTATCTTACCTTTAGAATAAAGAGAATTGCAACTGTTATCATCTTGTTCATCTTGTATCTTGTGTAAGCTGCTGAGGTGATGGGTGAGTCTCAGTGTCTGTTCTCTGATATCTTTGGTAACGAATGTACTATATTAATAATAGCGTTCCTTTTGTCTTGCTGATACAGAGAAGTTATATAATGCAGGATATACACTGTTGCCATTTATTTGGAATATTTTTTTATGCCATGCACTGTATGTTTGAACTTTATTTTAGAGATAATTTCAAATAAAAATAAAAATTCCTTTTTACTTCTATAGCAAACATTTTTATTCAAAGGTCGCTTGAACCAGAGTGGGGGAGGGGGGGGGCAGGTTTAAAAGAAGAGGATTCCTCTTTCTCTACAGAATTAGATTTTACTGTTGCATGGCTGTAACCTACAAATTATCCAATGTTTGCTGTTGGAGGGACATGTTCTTGATTAGACTTCAGTTATGAGATTATGGTGCCATGATGAATAAAATAAGATAGAATAAATGAAAAATATAAAGGGTTCAGCTTAAATTGTGTTCAAAAAGAAAATATTCTATATTAATATGAGCAATGGTGTATATGTCTGCAATTATCACCTATGTATCAATTACCACTTTCAAACATCTACAAGCCTAAGGGCATGCTCTTTGTTACACAACTTATCAGAGAACTGAATATTTACTGCCTGCGTAGAAGGTAAAAATGTAAAATGGCTGCCTCTTCAGAGAGGACAGGAATTTATTGCAAAAACAAGTCTTGTATCTTAAACTAAAAGTAATAGGTGAAAATTTGGTAGCATTGTCAAAGCTTATCTATTTAATCACCATTTCCCACCCTGGGAGCAATAATAGCTGGTCAAATGATAGTCAAGTTAAGACTAGCAGGAATATGCATTTCAAAAGTCCCTACACTTCATGACAAAGCACTTTGCCAAAATTTCAGTTACCGGGACAATTCTTCTTGTTAGATTTCTGACCTTTGCCACATTTGGAGGTCTCACATATATACATACCTTAAAATTTATTCCAGACATATCACATATACGGTATATCTTTTATTGACTCTTTATTGAAAAAAAGACACCTCTGATATAATTAATATTAAATCACATCTCATACCTACTGATGTTTTAAGTACATTCTACCTCCCAAGGTTCCAAAGTTTCAAGAAATCGATAATGTTCGTAAAATTTAAAGTGTGAAGTTTGTCAGTATTTAAAAACGTTTTTCTTCATGTAATAGTGATGGGATGGATACAGATTTATGTCTCTGAGGTAATGGGATGGGTTCTGAAATAGGCTCTTTTGAAGTTAAGATATCGTTTTTCACAATAAACAAGTTTGTATCATTGACATTGATGACGTGATATTATGAAAGAAATGTAAGATGTTTTTGATCAATAGCTAAGGGAAGACAGTATGATGGACAACATGCGTGTTCTTACACGTGACTTTAAAAGAACAGGCAATATTCTATGGAAGTCACTTGACTTCTGTTGAATATCAAGTGATATTCACCAGTCACGACCTTTGGGCTTCATGGAATATCACTTGTGAAAGATGCACAGGTATTCACCTCAATAGAATTAAATATTTGTATAATAAACTTGCATTGTGTTAATTTTTACAGCTCTCACCTAAGCATTAAGTGAGGAAAAGCTTTGTATTTTATGTTTCTATTCTCTGTGATTCCAGATCTACTATCCTGAGGTTTTGAACAATAGATTGAGGACTATATGAATATAGGGATCGATCATTCTGCTGAGTGGCAGCATATCTTGTGAGAATTGAGATTTGGTCTTTCTCGTGTTCTGCCTAGCTGCAGAGAATGACCGATCATTCCTGATTTACTGCTATTGCCCCTGACATGCCTGATCCATATACTGTTCAGACAGACAGTAGTGTAAACAGTATTCAAGATGGACTCTGAGGATTGGTTGCTAGGTAACTTGGGAATAGAGTGAGCCTGAAGATAACAGACACCATTGGGAGTGAACAGGTTCCATAGAGGACAGTTTCAATTTTAAAAAAGTCATGTCTATTGTCTAGCACCTGTTATGTGCTAATCATAATTATGTGCTAATAAGAGAGTTCCTCACATGCTCTCTATACAGTACATGTATAATATAATACATATTGCCTGAACACATGAGGACACAAACTATGAATACACAATAATATTTGCCTACAAGCATGAGAATTACAACATAACATATAGAAACCAATTTGGTGCCGAGATTAATATTAAAATAATTGTGCAATATCACCACCATTACATGTCTTCTGCAAACACTGAACATAGAATTAAGGGTGCTATATTATATATGTGGGCTATTGATTGAGGATATCTAATGACATTTGTGTCCAAAATTTAGTAAAATTACAGAGGTCGAATCTAAGATGTATCTTATTTATAGGAATACCGGAAAATCACATCTTTGAATTCCAAGTGGTTATACAGGTTGGAGCTACTAAAACCTTGAGAGTCAAGATGTGAAAATCAGCCATTTGGTTCAAATTTTGAAGAATAATGGATTGGAATCCGCCTGACCAAAACATGATCATTTCACATTTTATTCAAATGATATTACTATTAGAAAATTAACAAGACTACATGATATTATATGTTGATTTTATTTAATATTAAGACTATGGTGTAATCATACAAAGTACCTTGACATAATAGATTGAAAAACAAGACCCCTTATAACCTCTATTGCTTCTCTATTATACTTTAGGGGTCTATTTATTTATTGCATAGATAGACTGGTTTTAGGGGGTCTTGCAATTAGGCTATGTTTCAAATATGTAGAAAAGAAAATTCACGGATACCTGCACATGTATATCAATCTACACTGCCTCACATAATAATTATAAATGTTAATGCATTATGATAAAACTGTTCCACTTCACTGAGAATTCAAGTCATGGTGGTTATGTTTCAAATGATCTAATTTGACAGAATTAAAATTAATATAACTGCATACATAATAGATAAACAAAAGAAACTTAAAAATTTCTGTGTCTGGGAACTGCCTAGGGTCTCCATATACCCCCTCCATCTTTTCACAGAATATTGTCAAAGATACTAGGGGGGTAGATTGGGACTTTATGGATGCATGGATGGTTTCAGTGATCTCCCCAACATGGAAGCAGAAGAAATAGGCTTGTATCCACTCTAAAACCTGTTAAAAGAGAATTATCATGAAAAATTATTTTATGTTACTTTTTCAGAATTGTGAATGTAAGACTTTGGTTTCTACTTGTGAAAAATCCTGGGGAGAACACTTAACTATGTCTGTGCTTGTATGTGACAAGCATCTCCATATTTGTACATAGAGTTATAATAAATTGTATGTGTGCCAGTTACATAATTTATTCCTTATTAGGCCCTAGGTTACAATAGAAAGCTGTGTTGTCATGGTGATACATTGTGATACTATAGTTGATGCAGTATCAAGGGGGATTGGAAGCCAGTGTTTCAACTCGATATCCTTTAATCTCCAACATGATGCGATATTTCTACGGCTGCAATGAGAATGGCTGATATTCTTGACTTTGAATTTCGTATCCACGACATGATGATGTGATACCCTTATATGGAAAGTGGCGTCCCTGGGAGCCAATCCTCCTTGGTGTAGTGTAAAGGTTGTCACAAGGTCATTGGAGCTGAACATTCTTGACACTTTTTTGTTCTTCTCATATGTCATATATGCCTTGCATAACATTAATTTAAAGAAAAAGAGGAATATATCTGTATATGCATAGTGAAATGTAATAATAGTGTGGAATAATAATAAGTGGAAATGCATGGTTTGACAGAAACTTCAAGCACCCTGGGCCTGGATGTGAATGTTATACAATATTTTACCATGTCACTCAGCATCACCTTAATGTATACCCTGTATGACATGTATGATGTCAGAATGTAGAATACAACATGCTTTCAAAGCTATTTTGTCACAAATGTATGCAATTTCTAATCTTCATATTGTATTACAGTGCAGTTGGCGTTTTGTAATTCTTGGCTTGTATTGCAATATGCTGTCACATGATGTAAGAAAATAAAAAATAAATAGCCTATCTAAATTATGGATATTGCAGTTCTATTATATTAAATGTAGTTTTTGAATTAAACATATTTTGCAATGGTTTGATATCCCTTCAACTTATATAGGCTTATATTGGATCTCTATGATGTTGATGAGTTGGTATAGGCTTGAAGCAAGTCCTTCTTTGACACTCTAAACCTGTTCAGGAGATTGATGCAGCATGTAAATGAATCCTGATATCATATACTGCATCTTCTGAGTATTGAGCCAGGAGAGATGCATATAAATTAGGGCTGATATGAATAATGCACAGTTGAAAATAGGTTTGAAGTAATATTCGAATAGCAAAATCTGATATACAAATTTAGTTCGATCCTCACTGGGGTGGACTGACTTTTTCACATCAGCCCTTGGCACAGAATTTCATTCTGTGTTTTCATTAACCATACACAATTATAATTTTTCCTTTAACTTTTTCAATTGGAATGACTTATCAATAACAATTCACATATCATATATAGTCAGTATTTATTCACTTGCTTCCAAAACCCGTTTCAATCACTGTCAGTAGGATTGACACTCCTTCGCTTATCTTATTTTATATCTGGTGCATTGTTTCTTCATTTCTGAATATTTGTTACTGAACAGAGATCAGGTGACTAAATTATCAATAGGCCTATGAGAAATGAGTATTTGTTTCAGCCCTAATGCGAATCAGCCTTAAGGTAGGTGGATTAGACAACATAATCTTGACCTTTTACAATTCATGTTGTCTTGCATTCTGCCTACCTTAATTCTCTTAAGGTGGTCCCATATGATGTTATTTGTAATGTATTTCTAAAAGGACCTGAGTGTTCCAAATTGTCATTTTGATGAAGCCATTACTGCATCTGGTGCATGCACAGAAAGATAGGCAAACTCACAAATGTTGAACAAATTGGAGCTGTGAGAACATTTACTCGTAAAGCTATATAATTGTAAATTCAATTGTGTAATCATTGATGCATGTACACATTTAACAGAATTTAGTTCCATTCTATTTGCTCATTTGTAGATTTGTTTAAACGAACTGAATTAAATAATTTAGTTTCTCATATTTATTGTTAAATTGTACAGAATTATTATTATGTAATAGATTATTAACATGTAAGCAACATATTAACATGCAAGCAACATATTAACATGCAAGCAGCATGTTAATGATTATGTTAATGGTTGATATTAACTCACCTTTAAACATGTTAATCTGTATTTTTTCATATTCAGTTAAAACAACATTTTATAGTACAAGGATTAGTTTTCCTAAAATATTACTGAATTGTTATTGAGGTATTATAATTGTAAAAAAATAACATTTATTTATTCTATTAATGAACTGCATTTAGTTCCCATGCATTATATGTCAATAAAGCATATCTCTAAACACAATACTGTGCATGGTTGTGACATATAGAGACCTACAGGGTGGCATTATTCCAAATTAAATTTCAGGGTGATATAACAATTTAGCTGGCAATGGATTTTTCTTTATAGTATGTCAGTAATGAACATGAATGCAGTACTTAGATCCATGGATATCTCAATCAACATCAACTCTTGGTTCACATCAACATCAAATTTCAATCTGCATCACTATCATTTCTCAACCTGCATCAACATCGAATTTCAATCTGCATCAATATCATTTCTCAACCTGCATCAACATCAAATTTCAATCTACATCAATATCATTTCTCAACCTGCATCAACATCAAATTTCAATCTGCATCAATATCATTTCTCAACCTGCATCAACATCTCAATTAGCATCAACTTGGAAATCTCAATCTTTATCAACATCAAATCTCAATCTGCACCAAAATTATCATTCCATCGCAATCAGTCCGCCTAACATAAAATTTAAGTCCTCATCAGCATTTTGATCTGAGCATCAATATAAAATAGCATCAAATCTCAATCCCTTTCAACAGCAAATGTCAGTCACCATCAACATCAACAGTTAAATTAAATCTTTAAACAGAAACCCTAAGTGGAGCACATTTGCAAGAAGTTCTGTTAAGGTTGATATTAACAGTGAAGCGACTCTAGCCTGTATTATGCTTCTATGAAGATGTAAAATTGGAATGTTCTTAAAATAGAGGTCATTGATTGTCTCTATCATGTCTGTGTAAAATTCTAATGTAATATATCACTTATGCCAATGTTCTATCTAATGCAGTAAATCTTGTTATGATAACAAAATATTTGTAACTATGACACATATATGAATATAAAATAGTTATCAATAAATGTCATAAAATGTCAACATTATCATGTTTTTCAGACTGATGATTATTCCTGTATTCTTAAGAGGTCTTATCCTAATCAACTCTGATCCTCATAAAATACACTAAAGTTCAAGAAAAGTCAGAACAATCTAGATATCTAGCACCATCCCTTGATACTCTCACTAGCCTTGTCTTTGTAATATTTTATAATATAAATAAAAATTAACTATTAATGTCCAAACTAAAATTGAGTAATGATTGTACTTGCTTCAGACCTGGATACATCATTTCACAATATTTTTATTTACAAATATATAATTAATTAGATTGTAAATTCATGACATTTGATAATGCCTGAAAATCATTTTAACATTGGACACCCAATGATATGAGCCATAAGCCAGAGAAAATTGTTTTAAGAATGGTTTAGGAGCCAAAAATGCAAGCTTGGAAATTGACCTTTCATTATTAATGTGACCTTGACCCCCAACAATGAAGTGCATATACTGAAGGATATGGTGTACGATACAAAACCAATACAATATTCCTATATATGGTGAATGGAGCCATAAAAAGGTTTTCAATGTAGGTAGGTATTCAGGCGTGTTTATACACAGGTCATAAAAGTGGAGTTCACTAAACAAAGGTGTTCACTAGAGAGGCATTCACTAAGAAAGGTTTTACTGTACGTTGACCTATGTCCTTTCAACTAATCTTAGGATATTAATGTCACCTTCAATGATGCCAAGGTCTGAAGGTTGATGCATTGACCTTGAAGAACCCTTAATATATATTGACTCGAGTGATTGATCTTTGAGATGACCTTCATGACCTTAGTCATGACCTTATTCAACATGCATCCCAAGAGTTCAACTTCATGAGTTAAGATCTTTTTCCAGGAAAATAACTGAATAAAGCAATAATTATCAAATAGGGATATCCCAAGTTTCAACAAATTTATTAACAATGGTTATTTTGCGATGAACACAAATGACCATGCACTGATGTAAGGGAGTACACCTATCACGACATGGATACAGCGAAGCCTTTCACACAAAATGATGAATTATATGGAGAACTTTGATTAAAAAGGCATCTAAGAGACCTACGTGTACCTTTTGAAACCAGTAAGTAACAATGAAAGGACAGAACATGATCCCAATCCTCACCCACCTCAAGGCAAAGAAACAAATCGGTACAAAATTAATTATTACCATCATTTATTCGACTTCATCATTAGCAAATGCAAATACAAGGGTTGTTCAAAAAGCTTTGCACAAATATATTGTAACAGTTTGGCCTTTTTTGTGGATATGTGGTAGTGTGGCTAATAAAAAGACCACTGTTTAGTAAACGGTGTTTACTTGTGGATTGCACGGCACACGTTAAATGTGCTTTGTCCCTAAAGAAATAAACAAAATATACAATTTTATATATATAATATAAAACAATATATTGTGGCGTTTATAAGCCCAAATAAGATGTACATGCAATTTCAAATGTAATGTAAGAATATTACGGTGTTATTATTTCTCTCAAAACTCACAACTCAAAAGTCCATATGAGCTAATAGTAATTATCACTGATAAAATTATATCCAGAGTCCACATAAATTGAAACTGATGATCACTATATAACACTGTTGTATCCCGAATATTCAAAGTTCATGTATATTGTACCACTTGTACGTCTTGTATTGTTATTGTATCTTGAACCTGGAATAGTAATCTCCTGGATCCTCCTCACTGTGTTGTAGTATAATTCAACTTTGATTATATGAAATAATCTAAGTCAAAACTATCGGCTCTGTAAATGGCTATCTCTTGGATCCTTGTCACTGTGTTGTAGTATAATTCAACTTTGATTATGCGAAATAATCTAAGTCAAACTATCGGCGCTGTAAATGGCTATCTCCTGAATCCTCCTCACTGTGTTGTAGGATAATTCAACTTTAATTATATGAAATAATCAAAGTCAAACTATCGGCTCTGTAAATGGCTATCTCCTGGATCCTCCTCACTGTGTTGTAGGATAATTCAACTTTGATTATGCGAAATAATCTAAGTCAAACTATCGGCGCTGTAAATGGCTATCTCCTGGATCCTCCTCACTGTGTTGTAGGATAATTCAACTTTAATTATATGAAATAATCAAAGTCAAACTATCGGCTCTGTAAATGGCTATCTCCTGGATCCTCCTCACTGTGTTGTAGGATAATTCAACTTTAATTATATGAAATAATCAAAGTCAAACTATCGGCTCTGTAAATGGCTATCTCCTGGATCCTCCTCACTGTGTTGTAGGATAATTCAAC